CCCCCGTTTTGATTCCAACGATCCCGAATTTTGGTTTATTCAGGTCGAATCCGCGCAATAAGTAATTGTATTACTACTGAGGCGACTAAAGCCCACTACATTATCGCTGAACTTGATCCCGAATTTTTTATTCGCGCGTGCGATATTATTTTAACTCGTCCTGAACCTGCAAATATTTATACTCTAATTAAAGATAGATTAATTGCTACTTATTCCATTTCAACCGAAGCTCGTCTTCGTCAGCTTCTCAAGGGAGATATTTCGACTGACGGAAAATCATCTTTAATTCTGACTCGATTGCGAAGTTTGGGTGATGCACACTGTAGCGAGGAGGTTATCAAGTCTGTTTTTCTCGACCAAATACCTACTTCTTCGCGTGCCATTTTGGCAGCTTCTAAGGTGGCTAATTTACAAGAATTGGCAAATCTTGCTGATAAAGTTTCTAAAGCGTTTAATATTTCTAGTTCTTGTTCTGCTGTTAATACAAGAATTACTCCTTTGTCTACATCAAATAGCCGTACACTGACAAGTATTGAAACTCAAATCAACGATCTTGTCGCTCGGGTTAATGCATTGAGTACCAAACCTTCTCGGGGCAGAGATGATCGTTCGCTATCGTGATCTCGCGGTAATCGTCAAGGCAGTCGGGGTCCTTCATCTTTTCGTAGCGATAAACCTAACTGTTGGTACCATCATAAGTTTGGGGAAAAGGCAAATAAGTGTAATCAACCGTATTCTTATTCTGCTAAGGCAAAAAATAGTAACAATAATGTTGGACAACCGGAAAACTGAATATGCCTTCCTGTTCGGAGACTATCCGGTTTGGCATTCCTTCTAGGCGTCTCCACGTTCGTGATCGGAATTCCGGACTTCTCTTTCTTGTCGACACCGGTTCCGATAACTCGCTCCTTCCTTTTTAGCCAAATTCTAAGCATAAACCATCTGATATTCTTCTTTTCGCTGTCAATAATACAAAAATCTCTACTTTTGGTGAGAAACGTATTTCTTTAAACCTTGGTTTGAGACGAGAGATCAATTGGAATTTTTGTTTGGCTGATGTTCCATACCCGATAATCGGTGCTGACCTTTTAGCTAATCACGACCTAATTGTGGATCTTGCTCAACGAAAGTTGATAGATTCGATTACGTATGTTTGTGTCAATTTTAAGGTTCGTCGCGTAAATTTTTGCAGTGTTTCCACTATTGATTGTCAGATGCTCTTCGCAGAAATTCTAGCAAAATATCCAGAGGTTACTGGTCCGGCGCAGGATTCTTCGAGTTTGGTTAAGGGTGTTTTCCATCATATACTTACACATAGTCCTCCTCTTGATGAGCGTGCCCATCGACTCTCTCCAGAAAAGTTGATAGCTGCTAAAACTCAATTTCAGGCGTAGATGAAGTTAGGGGTTTGCCGTCCTTCGAACAGTTCTTGCGCTGCTCCGTTGAATATGGTTCTTAAGAAGAATGGAGATTGGCATCCGTGTGGTGACTTCTGTCGTCTCAATTCAGTCACTGAGCCGGATCGATACCCGGTTCCTTATCTTCACGATTTTTCCGCTCAACTTTCTGGTAAAACGATTTTCAGTAAGGTCGATTTGCACATGGCCTACAATCAGATTCCTGTCGCTCCTGAGGACATCAAGATAACAGCTATTATTACGCCTTTCGGCCTTTTTGAATTTCCAATGATGACATTCGGTCTTCGCAACGCAATTCAGACCTTTCAGAAATACATTTCTCAAGCTCTTGGCGATTTGGAGTATGTCTTTGTCTATATCGATGACATTCTTATTGCTTCGTCTAACTTGGACGAACATAAGTGTCATCCTGATGAGGTTTTCTCCCGTCTAAAACGGTTCAGTTTGCGAATTAATTTCGATAAGTGTCAATTCGGAAGGTTGGAGTTGGAGTTTCTCGCTTTTTCTATTGATCATCAGGGTTATTACAATTATTATTTTTTTTTCTTTTTTATCGTTGACACTTGGAGGGGAGTGTGTGGCGGCAGCTTAATCTTTGCTCCGCTTGCCATAGAATTGGCCCTTAGGTTTCCCCTCTTTTTCCTTATGAGGAGGACTAACTGTGATCATCGAGGTATGAATGTCATTCTTTCTAGTTGTAACGTCGAGAAGAGAACATAATCTTATAGTTGAGAGTAAGCCAGATGGCAGTATTATTTTCCAATAAATAATGTTAAATAGAATTTATAACGTGATTATTTGGTCTTTGGGAATCTGACCAATTTTGGTACTTACCATCCAAATTTCATAAACATTTTTAGAAATTTATTTATTTATTCTGTTTGAAATTGAAAAATTTTGTCCGCCACATTGGATTCGCCATTTTGGATTATTTTTTGACGTCACAGTTGAATTCAACGACCTCAAAAACCCTTGCGTACTAATTTTTATAAATATCTGTTTAAAATTGAAAAATTTTGTCCGCCATATTGAATCCGCCATTTTGAATTTTTTTTAAACGTCATATTTGAATTCAGAGACCCCAAAAACCCTTGTATACTAAGTTTCATAAAAATTCAGCGACCAGATTTTGCTGGACATTTTGGGCCACTTATATGAATATTTTTTCAAACAGGGAAGGGGTAAAAGTTAAAAAAGCAGCGTGTAAACTGTAAAAGAAAAATTATTTTCAATTTTTAATATGTTTGTAAATGTCAAAAGTGTTTGTTCAAAATCATAAAACTTCATCATTTTATTTTATTATTATTTATTATTATATTTAAATTACTTTCATTAAATAACGAAGAACCGCTTCTATGGAAATTAAAAATTTCTTAATTTATAATTCATGTTTAAAAATGAAATAATATTAAAATAATTTTAAAAGCATTCTTAAAATAAGAAAAAGTTTATATGTAAATAATTAGAAAATAAACTGGAATCTCTAACATCCGATTCTTACACTTTTATTTTAAGTCACGGTCACTTTATTCAAATTCTTTTTTTTCATATGTGCTTTTGATATACGGAAATTTAAAATGAAGCCACTAACAATAAGTAACAGTGTTTAAGCATTGGAATAAATATTTTAATTTTCATTTCGAAATGAATTTTATTAATTTTATTTTAAGTATTCTTATAAAAAGTAACAAAAATCGATATCATCCTAGATCCTATATGCAAAGTTAAGAATTTTTTATTTTCGGATTTAAAAATTAACACAATTTTTCAATCAACTAAAGAAAAAACTTTTAATCTATTAGAGTAGATAGTTCTTCCTTAATAAATGTGAAATTATTATGTTTTAAAAAATTGAAATAAAAGAAAATAAAATGTTTTTCTTAATTTAGGTGTAAATGATTTAGAAATATTTGAATCTTCAATACATAATATAATGTATAATTTCAAAAGTTTTCTTAATTGGTGACAAACTATTAACGATGTTAACAGCTTAGTCATAAACATATAACGTACTCATAAGTCTGAAGGATGGTCTTAAACGTATGTTTCAAAGGTTTGTTGACTGTGTGTTATTTCTAAAGCGCTTATACTAGCGTCTAATTAGTTAATAATGTTATAATATTAGAGTTTACAAATATCTTTATACTATCTTCCTTAGAATTACAGTAGTAAAAATAGGAATTAATTTTCTAGTGTTTAAAAACGATAGAAAATGAAAAAAAGTTCTTTCCTTATTTTCAGTTATTCACTATTTCATTAATTTACTGAAATAAATGCAAACAATCATAATTTTATGTTTTCATAATTATAAAACCGCGAATAAAATACACGTTTAATACATACGTGTTTTTATTCACAATTATATGTATAATACCTAAATATGTGATTACATATGTAAATTTGAAATTTCACATATCATTTTTATATATATGGGCAATTAAAACTTATAACATTTTAATAATTAAGACCAAATTAGGCTTTAGTATAATTTAACAATTTTAATTATTTTTCTAACTACGCTTGAAATTAGTACAAATATATAATTATACATATATTATTTAAATAGGAACATATAATAACAAAAATCTAAAGCGGCATAAAGTGTAAGTCATTTTTATTGATATTATAGAGATTTTTAAAAAACGAAAAAATTTTATAAATAAAAAAAAAGGTTCGAACGTTTCAAAAGCGTTGATTACGACATGTGGATTTAATTTTATTATTAGGTGAATCGATTCGCAATGCAGAAACTGTAGCTGAAAAAATATGTTTAAAAAAACTAAATGAAGGGAAGAATCTAGAACTTTTTAATATTCTGTAGCCGTTTCAAGTTCATGGACCTTGCGCGCGGATATCAAAATATGTATACGATTTACATGGAGCTTCAGTGGGAAATTTATACTAGATATTTTTCGTAACCATTTTTTTATAGACAACTTATAATTTTAAGAATTATCCGGAATAATCCCAAACCTATACTGCAAAACGTTTAATGTAAACGTGCCGCAAATATTTTTGGAAAACTTGCTGACAATCTAAATCTGTTACATAAAAACGAATATAGAGTTAATTCTAAATATAGGTCTAAATTTCCAATATTGAATGTTTAAAAGTAGAATATTTTTTATAGAGAAAGGAATAAATGAATATACAAATAATAATTATTCATATACGATAATATATTCTGCAAAAGATTTTAAACATTTCATATTCAAATGTGAAGTTACATTTTAGTTAATACATTCTTAAATAGACAAAAAATTATTTTTATAACCGAAAAGTGCACTCATAATGAAATGTTTATTGATTTTTCTTCTTGATACTGTTTATAGAAATTTATGTACTGCAAATAAGAAATCAGTTATGATATTATTAATTTCTTCTTTACTATCAATTCACCATCAATTTATATTTACCGCCAAATCCGGTTTGCTATTATTAGTAATTATGGGTAAAAATGAGGCTCACGCTTATTCATGATTAGCTCTTTTTGAAATTCACCATTAAATTATAAAGTTAAAATTAATAAATTCCCTGCTAGAAGATTTAGTGACTAGAAATTAATTTAATAAGTTTACTTACGATTCTTAGATTCTGCAAATGTGATAATTGTATTTGATATGAAGGACAGGCCATTCTCCCAGTATTTCTTTGACTTGAATTACCTGTAAAAATAATTACGACCATCAATTACGACATAATAGGCATAGGTGAATAAGAGGCAAAAATATGGTTTCCTGTATTAGCTATAAAGCTATTACTATTATATCACTTATATTATCTAAATTATAACCTTTTCTTATCCCACTTTATTACTCACAAATATTAATATAATTAAATTGTAGATTTCAAGAAAGCTAATATTTCTTCTGCTTTCAAAGGTTTGCCTCATGGTTAACCATGTGTAAATTGAATCTGGGTTCTAGCCATAACATAGGCGAGAAGCCCGACTTTAAATATACTAGGAGAGCCCAGGGGGTCGATTTCGTGACTTATTCCGGATTCCACATTCCGGATTTCACATTCTGGATTCCACATTTCACATTCCTGATTCCACATATCACTCCGGAATGTGGAATCCGAAATGTGGAATTCGGAATGAGAAATGTGGAAATCGGAATCCGAAATGTGAATCCAGAATCTGGAATTCGGAATGTGATTACTGAATATGGAATCCGGAATGTGAAATCCGGAATATGGAATTCGAAATGTAGAATCCGAAATGTAGAATGTGGAATTCGGAATGTGAAATGTGGAGTCCGAAATGCAGAATGTCGAATTCGGAATGTTGAATATAAAAATCGGAATCCGGAATGTGGAATCCAAAATGTAAAATGTGGAATTCGAAATGTGGAAACCGGAATCTAGAATTTTAAATACGGAATCCGGAATCTGGAATGTGAAATGTGGAAAAAAATAATAAATATAATAATAATAATAATAATAATAATAATATAATATAATAATAATATAATATATAATATATAATATAATATATAATATATAATATGTAATATAATATAATATAATAATAATAAATATTATGGAAACTGGAATCTAGAATTTTAAATATGGAATCTGGAATGAGGAATGTGAAATTTTGAATAAAAATCCGAAATGTGGAATGTGGAATCCGGAAGAAGTTAAAAAATCGACCCCAAGGTAAAAGTAAAGCTTCAAATTGAATTTTTTATTAATTGTTGTTTTATTTTGACATTTATAAAGAATTAAGTATATGCCTTCCACTGTTCGGAACAAATATTGTGCGCGAAATTCAGGCGAATTCCTAACGAATTTTTTGTAAAAATTCCGCTCGAAATCTGGAGGTGATTCCGCAAGAAATAAGTCCTTGTAGGGGGACGTGATTTTATAATGTTACCTATACTCTCAGTTATACCAGTTTTTCTAGATATTCTATTAATATAGGACTTTTAAATTTGAGAATTAGTTCGTTACTGTATATTGAATAAACAAATAAAATGAAGGTATTTTTTATGAAATAAAGTTATTAATAGAAAATAATTGAAGATGTAATATTTTGATGATCTTGCTATTTCTAATGCAATTTGTAACTTCTGTAAACTTTTTAGAATAGTGCCTCTTCAATTAAACGTTAATTGAGAACACTATACTCGATGACACTAAATGTTTGGAGTCGTTAAAAAATAAAAAGTGCGTGATATTTTGTTAATTATTGCAAGCAAATGTTTTTCACTAACAATGTAAGACAATGATGTAGGTAAATTGAAGAGAATAATTAAGTGTAATTAAATTTTTTTAAATAGTTTCTAAAATTTTTAGTAGTATTAATTATTTTTGGAAATATTTCTACACAGAATAGAACTTTGTGACGCAAGTAAAAATCCAAAGCCCAAAACATACCAATCTTTAAATCACGACATTTTGTAAATGCAAATGTTAGAAAATTTACAAATCTACCATTCGAAAGCTTACAATAATCATACAATACTATAATTAAAATCCTGCAATTTCTACATTGATGGTAGTGTAAGTATATGATTCGTAATAGTTGAATTATTATTTGTTTAATTGCAAAAAGAAATGTACTCATTATTTTGATAGTTCTTTCAATCCTGTATTATATTTTATTTGGCTTTTCCCAGCTATTAATTGCATGCACTTTGTACTATTTTATTGATCCACACAGTTATATACATGTAACTAAATATTTATATAGAAATATTTTTGTACTTAGTTTTCCATGTTAAATTCTATCAATAAAAGTACATTGATAAAAGTAAATTTTAGCCGTATTTATTTCAGGACAATATGTAATATTTTATTTAATCTGACTTTTGACTATAAATTACTTATAACATGAAAATTTATTTATAATTAATGTATTTCTCTTTGAGTATCAAAGAGCAAAAACGTACCAACCGAGAAAACATTTTTACACAAAACGTTAATTTTTAAATTTTAATTTCGACATATTGGATCCGACATTTTGAATTTTCTGAAATTGGACATTAGATTCGGAATCATTGATCCAAAAAATCTAAGTATTCCAAGTGATACTGAAATCGAAGTAGATTTAATATTTTTTCGTCCATGACATATATACAAAGGTGGCACGACTTTTTATTATAGGCCATATGCCTGCCATGGGGTGTCAAGGGGTTAAAAATTCAACTCCTTCCACATTTTTTATTATGTTTCATTGCCAAATTTTTATAGGATTGTTTCAACATTCTAAATAAACTATCTTTTATGAAGTATGAGAAATTTTATTCTTTTAAAAAAAAAAATTTTTTTTAAATAATTTTTTCTCAATTTTAATAATAAAAATAAATTTAGATCACAAATGCGATGCTAGAACAGAAAATGCAGCTTCTTTACAACTTAGATATCGAAAGGTTTAAATTGCACTAGTCTCTTCATTAAAATTTGATTATTTTTATACTAAATAAGTTCGATTTATGTGCAGATAGAATAAATAAAAAAATTTTTGATATGATTCTCAGAATGTTTTAATTTACAGTTAAAGCGCTGTTTTTAGAAATCAAGGCAGCAATACTAATATTTTCACCTTCTATTTCAAACAAAAGAGAGAAAAACCCATTCAGTTTATTAATTAGGTAAAGTTTTAAGTGCATTTATTTTAAAATCATATTTCACTCACTTGCTGAATTGAAATTAAATTAAAATTAAAGCTCACGAAATGATAAAAAGTCCTCGACTACTTTAATAATTAGTGATAACTTGTTTTTAAATAAAAATATTCTTATTTGTAGAGCCAAATATACGCTCGCAGACTAAACAAATTAAAATAAGTTATCGATAAAGTAAAATCTATCAAATATCATATTAAAGTCACAAACAAATTTTTTAACATATATGTTAATTTTTCAACATGAAAATTATTTTTTTCAATTAAAATTGTTGTTCTAAAAATATAAGTCATGGAAATACGTTCCATGCATCCGAGAGGTTTGGTTGAGACTATTATTATAATTATTTGAGAAAGAAAAATTGAAAAAATTTAATAATTCATCAAATTTCTTTGAAATATATATATATATATATATACATATATATATATATTTTTTTTTTTATTTTTATAATAATAATAAATAATAAAAATAATTTTGAAAATTCTGTAACGCGTTCTCTAAAACAAAATTTACCTTTAGAAGCTTATATTAATTTATTATTTGATTATTAAAGAAAAAGGAGTAATTTATTGAATACTAATAATTATTATTAATATTTCTGTAGTAAATAAACTTTTATGAGTAACAATAAAAATGTAAATAATTAGCAAAATTGCTCTTATTGAAATAAGTTTTAAAAAAAATTTTTTCTTTTTTTTCATTAATTTATACAATCTTATTTATTTTAATTAATTACTAAATTATTATTATTATTGTTTATAATTATTTAAATTTATATTTTATGTAACACTGTTGAGAATTATACACTAAACACTAAGAACTAAGGCGGAAAAATATCGCACGCACGGGGGATCGAACCCTAGACCTCGAGGACGCAAGTCGAATACACTAACCGCACAGCCACGCAAGCTTCGAAGTGATTTTACTTAAACTTCCTTTTGAATTAAGGGAAGGATACATACAGTGCTATAATAATGAATTCACTGTATATTATATTTATTTAAAGAAAAATTATTACAAATATATGTTTTATATATTTATATACATTTTAACAAGACATTATATATTAATTAATAGGTATAGCATAAAAATATGATAAAAATTATTAATTTAATTATTTATTAAAATAATAATAAAAAATATATATTTATACATTTTTAAAAAATAAGAAAAATTTTATTATTAATAATACATAATAGTAAAAATAATTAATAAATAATAATTTATTATTATTATGATATACCTATTAACTAATAATGAATAATATATTAATTAAGTGTTTGATGTTATTGTTGATGAATAATGTTTTTAAAAATCTTGGAAAATATTTTAATAGTTAATAAATGAAACGATGTTGTTATTAATAGTGGCCGGTTTAATGCCATTATAACAAATTTTGTTTGTTTTTTAACTCCTTCGCAGTACTGATTTAGTGTTATGCCAGTTTTCTGCCAGCACTGATTTTAATACTTTTTTAACTCCGACGTATTACTGATTCGTTTTTGGAGTCAGTATGCTCCCAGTACTGATCGGGTTCCGAAAGTCAGTACCGACGGTCAGTACTGAGTCAGTACCATGCCGGTGTTTAACTCCGTCCTTACTCCGGACATTTCTACTTGGGCGAGGACATGAAAAGTTATCTTGGACATTTTAGAAAATTCTTAGGATATCTTTAAGACATCATACTGCCTACTAGGAAGTTTTCTTAAATTTTTAATAACAATTGTTTTTTCAAATTCCATGCAAAATTTGGAAATGTTTGTTTGTTGAGCACGCGTTTGTAAAGGATTAAGAGTTTTTGGCAAAATTTTAAGTAATTAATGAAGGATGGTTAGTGCAGTGTTGGAGATAGGAAAGGAAAGTGTTGTGATGCAAGAAAAAAAGTATATGTGTACGAGGAATTTCTCGATCTCATTCCATATAGAACTTTTCCACGTGAGGTAGATGAGGGAATAGAAAGGATGCAGGAAATTTTTTTTATTATCAGAAAATACAAAAGCTCTTATTCACATGGACCATGAAGGGCATTA